CGGTCAGGCACATACGCGCCCCGAGTTTGGAGAAGCGCGGTGCCATCAGGGGCTATATAGTAGCCCCACATTCGAGCTCCTATGGCTAAGTGAAAGTGATAAAGCATTATAGTCCGGTTGCCTAGTTTGCTATGCTATAACCTCCTTAAAAGGACCAAGACGTTGGATTAAGTGTGAAAAAGCGTTTTTCTTTTTGCAAACACCCCCGCACCATGTGCGTGGGGGCTGAAGCCAAAGACTGCCATCTTTCAGATTATACATACATATACGGCCGCACAGGAGATAGTTCAATACTTGAACACACAATTATAAAAAGTCATTGCATTATAAACATGATCTTAGAAATCATACATGTCATTCAAACATAACATCTTTCGAGCACTGCGACTCTATTATACGAGCGCCCTGCAGGACTTCCTCAAAGTAATGCTCGGTAGGGAATCGGCTTTTGTCCGTACCCCGGGATGCAACAACGGTGGCATCCATCTCCGCCCGTACCCCGGGATGCAACAACGGTGGCATCCATCTCCGCCCAGTATGTTTTACCACAGGTGAGAGCCATCCGTGAACCTTCTATGCATGCCGACCGCTTCATCGCCTTAATATGCAGCACTGCCCCAAGGAATTGCTGCAACAAGCCAAAATAACTCTTCGGCTTGGCTCTTCCCGGCCACAGATGAGTGACCACATCCGTCATGGCAAGTCCGGACAATCTATTTAGCTCAGCCCACTCAACCAGCCGATCACTCAGTGGAAGTTGACGCTCCGAACTATGGAATTGAGACCAGAAAAGCTCTTCCATTTCGTGACCCTTCTGGTTTCGGAAGTGCACGACTGCGTCCGCCGCACTCGCTACCAAGTCCAGATAAGGATCCTCCGCACCATACAATCGGCCGAGCTGAGCATACTTCGGATCCGTGAACTTCCTGCGCAGCATAAAGGGCTTTCCAGCCACAATGTCTCGGATTTGACGCAGTTCCTCCTTCATAGCCCGCATCGCACTACGGGCATCTTTGGCTTCGGCATCGGCCTTCTTCAGGTCCTCTTGTTCCGCTCGACGTTCTCTTTCAAGAACCTCCTGGCGGTCGGTAGCAACTTTTAATTTCGCGACCATTCCGGCCATCTCCTCCCTGCTTCGGCAGTGCGCAGCCTTCTCGGCTTCTAGCTCTTCCGCTGCCTTCGAGGCAGCCGCCTCGCTTTTTCTGGCTTGCTCCTTGGCCCGAGCAAGTTCGGCTCGAAGGCCTTCCATAGCGGCAGCGCCATCTGCATCAAGCATACACATTGTAAGGCACGGGCGTCAGCCTCCTTACTAGGCGACCACGGAGCAAACACGTACCTTGTGACTCATCCAGTCGTTTATTGACCAGCGAGATGTCCGCATCCGCAACGTCGAGTTGCCTTCTCAGCTCGGCAAATCCATCAGTCCGGCTGGCCACCGGACGATCCGCCACCTGCATAGGAAAGGAGGCATTCTATAACTGAGATTACGACCCTTGGCATGCTATCGCTTTCGACAGCATACCAAGTCTCAGGGGCTACTATCTATACAGGGCGCACTTTATGTGCAAAACTGTCAACGGGTATGTCATTTTTTGCGTACCTCAAATCCCATCAGTAAAATTCCGACGGCCTCATACAACCCGGTTTCGGCAGACGAAATCCTCTCAATCACATCACCCAATAATGTGTGGTGATCTTCTGAGATGGACGCCCTCTTAAGCAAATCCTGCAGCTCCACCGGCCGTACTCCAATGGGCGCCGAACTCTCCGGTCCCGCCGGACTCGGGGAGACCCTCCGCGACGACACCTCAGGGTCATCCGCCCCACACGATGGGGCAGTAGATGAAGGCGTTTCGCTTTCCATCATCTCCGGACGAAGGTCTCCCGAAGATGAGCTGCGCTGAGATGGGCTGAGATCCGAACTACAAGGTAAAAACTTCGTTACCTTTAGACATTAAGCAGGGGTGACTGATAATTATAAAATCCCCCTTTTCACTTACGGCTCCTTAGAGGGCTGATTCCTCCGAGGAGACAATACGACCGGGGCGCTTTCTGGCGCAGGGCCTTCTGGTACAGATTTCTTTCCCCGTTTTGAGGCCTTGGCCTCCGGGTCTTCGGAAGTGTTCCTCTTCTCCCCCTGGAAGGGGGGACTCTCGATTCCTCCCTTACTAAACGCCTCCTTGGCAGAGGTGACAGTTTCCCCGTGCCCCCCTTCGCCCTCATCCGAAGGTGCAACCTCCAACATTTTGATTAACACGGGATACTGCATGGTCTCACGGAGGGGGGGCCGGACACCGTATCAGTTTTGCTTGCGCTATCCACTCCTGTCCAGGGATAGCTGGTTAAAAGGCAAGCTCACAAAAAATAAATGGACGGTGTGTCCGAATACAGGGCTACTTACTTGAGTATCCGAGCGATTGCAGCTTAGGCCAGCGTCCTCGGTCAATTCCGGATGCGTCTCTTGCGATCCGAAGAACAGTTTATACATCTCCATGGGAGTCAAACCCATGAAGTGTTGAAGAGCTCGTGGCCCCTCCGGATTAAATTCCCACAGGCGGAGGGGGCGACGTTGGCATGGCAGTAGGCGCCGGATCAACATGACCTGCACCACTGCGACCAGATTGATCTCCCTTTCTTGGAGGCCTCGAATCCAGTCCTGCAGCAGGGGAACGTCTTTGGGCGGCCCCCAGTCACGCCCCTTGTTGACCCATGACGTCAATTACTATGGAGGGCCCGAGCGAAAGACGGGCGGCGGCTTCTGCCTGCTGCCCCGGGGAGCGGTGATATAAAACCACTCCTATTGCCACAAGCCGAGCTCCTCTTGGAAAGAGCCCTTGGGCCATGGAGCTTCGGCCCTCTTGCTTATAACCGCCCCGCCGCACACTGCCTGACGCCCCTCAATCATCTTCGGCTCCACATTGAAGGTTTTGAGCCATAAGCCGAAGTGAGGGGTAGTGCGGAGGAAGGCTTCACAGACGACAATGAATGATGAGATATGGAGGATGGACTCCGGAGCCAGGTCATGGAATTCCAGCCCATAGTAAAACATGAGCCCCCTCATGAAGGGATCCGTCGGGAAGCCTAAACCCCGACGGAAGTGAGACACGAACATGACGATCTCGCCAGGCTCGGGAGTTGGAATAACTTGCCCTCGGGCAGGCAGCCTATGCGAAATCTCGTAGGTTAAATACCTGGCATCTCTCAGCTTTAGCACGTCCTCCTCCGTCACGGAGGAGGGCATCCACCGGCCTCGTAGATCAGGACCGAACATTGTCGAAGATCGAAGGTACCTGAATTCGGAGCCCTGGGTGTTGGAACTCAGGGAGAGGGGCGGATTCGATAGAGGATTGAATAAGAAGAACGGGCCTTGGTCTCATTATAAAGAGGAAGAGTACCAAGAGCCATCCCCGTGACCGTTTGGAACCCGCCTTCGATGGAGGGGGCGTGGCAACGGGCGCGGTTGGGTTTCCCACGTCCGTATTAATGGGAATCCCGGAATAAGGGGAACACGATCTCTGCTTGGACAAGACGTGCCAAGGAAACCGCCTCGCTAAACGCTGAGGTGGAACAATAAAAACAATTCTAGTAAAGGCTTGGAAGTGGTGTGACGTCACGCCATAGAATACGTCAGCAGATTGATCTTGTGTAATATTATTCTCTCTACGGTGGTATGTGGAATTTATTTTTGCAGAGCCGGACACTATCCTAGTGTTCACAATCTTCTATAAATTATTCGGAGGAGGAACCCGCCTTGCAATGCCGAAGACAATATGCGCGCCGGACTTGTCGTCATTGAAGCTTGGTTCAGGGGCTACTGAGGGAGTTCCGGACTAGGGCGTGTCCGGATTGCCGAACTATCATCATCGGCCGGACTCCAAGACTATGAAGATACAAGATTGAAGACTTCGTCCCGTGTCCGGATGGGACTTTCCTTGGCGTGGAAGGCAAGCTTGGCGATACGGATATGTAGATTTCCTACCTTTGTAACCGACTCTGTGTAACCCTAGCCCTCTCCGGTGTCTATATAAACCGGATGGCCCTAGTCCATAGGACGAACAAAAATCATACCATAGGCTAGCTTCTAGGGTTTAGCCTCCTTGATCTCGTGGTAGATCTACTCTTGTAACCCACATCATCAATATTAATCAAGCAGGACGTAGGGTTTTACCTCCATCAAGAGGGCCCAAACCTGGGTAAAAACATCATGTCCCTCGTCTCTTGTTACCATCCGCCTAGACGCACAGTTCGGGACCCCCTACCCGAGATCCGCCGGTTTTGACACCGACAATGACCATAGTTTGAGGAGTTCATGTATTCACTATGTGCTAATGCTTTGTTCCAGTTCTCTATTAAAAGGAGGGCTTAATATCCCTTAGTTTCCAATAGGACCCCGCTTCCACGGGAGGGTAGGACAAAAGATGTCATGCAAGTTCTTTTTCATAAGCACGTATGACTATGTACGGAATACATGCCTACATTACATTGGTGAACTGGAGCTAGTTCTGTGTCACCCTATGTTATAACTGTTACATGACGAACCGCATCCGGCATAATTATCCATCACTAATCCGGTGCCTACGAGTTTTCCATATACTGGTTCTCGCTTATTTACTTTTCCGTCGCTACTGTTACAATCACTACAAAATACCAAAAACATTACTTTTGCTGTCTTTACTTTTGTTATCGTTACCACCACTATCATATTACTTTGCTACTAAACACTTTGCTGCAGATACTAAGTTTCCAGGTGTGGTTGAATTGACAACTCAGCTGCTAATACTTGAGAGTATTCTTTGGCTCCCCTTGTGTCGAATCAACAAATTTGGGTTGAATACTCTACCCTCGAAAACTGTTGCGATCCCCTATACTTGTGGGTTATCAGTGTCAGACAGCAAACTCATTACCGCGCTTAGCAAAACAAATGCAAAAAGGGGTCAGTCTGTTCAAAAAATATAGACAAAACAAAACACTAAAATAAAAGTCGAACCTCCTCCTAGCAGCTACGAGATCAGTCCTAGACCTCTTGCCAGGAGAACCCTGCCCAACATCCTCTGGAGCCCTCCCCTCTTTGAGGGCAACACCCCCTCGCCTCTCGCAGCCGTATGTTCTTTGACTTTCTCCGGTGGAGGGACATTTGGTGCATCCTTGCCCTTCTGACCACCTGCACGAACATCGACATGTTCATCATTATCGATGTCCTGTTGCACGTTCTCCATGTCATCGTCATCATCCTTGTTGAGACCAGCGTCTCCATCTAGTTCATCTTGTGTGTCAGCAAGCTCTTGGGAACTGTTGTAGTCGTACCGGCCACGGCAACTAGTTGGCCGATGTGTCCGTTCTACGACAAATGTAGTGAACTGCCTCGCAACCGCATCACTGTCAGAGCTGTTAAGGGACGTCCAACCCTCAACCAACTTCCCGAGCAAGCTGGTCATTTCGGATGCAAACTGCCCAATTAGATGCTCAACAGGTGCCCTCGCCTGTGCAGGAAACAGGAAGCAGCAATAACCAACCATATTAGAGTCACTTGCACAAGATCAAAAATAATCCAAGGCAACCGTAGATATATATCTTTGATTACCTTAGTTGGGCAAGACGGAGCTGAGTGCACATCCATCCACTTTCCAAAGTTTTGAGGCCCCCCAAACATGCTGTAGTCTATAGCATGCTTGGCCATCAGCTAGAAATAACCAAAAAATAGCTAGGATGTAAGAGAGAGAATGATGAACATTGACTAACAGTTCATGTATTGCAAATACAACAAAAAAGATGAGAATATAAGTTTCAGCACAGATGACAGAGTTGTCATGTGGAGTGAGACATGGATACCATGCGCAAACAGCCATGGCTAACAAGGTAGTCATCTCTTGTTAGCCACAGACGGTTGCCACATGAGGATTTCTTCATATGTTATGCCGCAAAAATTTGTAAGAATGTCGTGTAGAGAAAGAAACCAGAACTAACCTGCAGTTTTCCATATTTGGTATCAGTTACCCTGTCTGCAGCAAGCACAGCCTTGACAGCATCATAAGTCCACGCAGAAACAGCAAACTTGTGTGTAGGCCGCGGGCCTCCTGTCCCAATGAAATCCACGATGGACAGATCAAGACAGTCGACGTACATCAGCTGATGTACAACAATTTTAAAAGAAAGAAATATCAGTTGCCATCATGGTATTTTGCAAAAATAGGCTAATGTATGTTCCTACAATCATCAAGTTGAAGTGCATGAAAAAAGAAAAAAAAAGTTGCCATCTGTCTGTGCTAGTTGCCATCTGTATGTGCTAGTTGCCATCATAGTATGATGGCAGTTGCCATATTGTCATGATGGCAGTTGCCATATTGTCATGATGGCAGTTGCCATCTTGTTATGATCAGGTTGCCATGCATGAATAAAGGTGTTAAAGAGTGTTCACAGAAAGGACTGGTAAAAAATACCATTAAATGCAGTCGACAACCCTTCTGGTACATCTTGCTTGAGAATGCATCATGCAGGAAGTCGACAATGAACTTACACCAATTCATGTTCTTCACATCTTTCAGTTTCGCCTGCACCGCACAATTTTCAGGACAACAAGTTGCCGCATCAGAAATCAAATGAAAAAACATCCAAAAAACTGGCAGTGACTAGCTTGCACATGACATCGGAGCCAAAAGATTGAAGGAAAATAATGGAGTAAAGATAGATCATTGACCAGGATGGGGAAGCATTTGTTGCTTGGGCGAAGAGAAGTGGTTGGCGCAAAAACAGCTGAGATGAGGTACATGAGTAGTTTCATCTTAAAAACCTCGCCATGGGTTGTCATGTCCTGCGGCGAATCTGCCAGGAAAGTCGTGTTCGGCATGGATTCCAACCCAGGAAACAAACGGGGGAACAACGTTTCCTTGATCTTATTATTGACCTCATACGGGACTTTGATTTCTCCACGGGGCACACCCAAAGTGCAGAACACGGATTCCTCTTTCAACGGCAGTCTTCCACGTCCCGGAATCACAAATTCTCTGGAGGTGGGGTCGTAAATCTCACCAAGCCAGTCGCATACAGGGTTGACTAGATTCTTGCACCGGACATCCATCAGAGCCTGCATACCCATCTCAGCAGCAGCTCCCTTCTGATCGTCGGTAAATCTGTCAGTCAATGAAGTCAGTCGTTCCTGCGAGGCCCTGTTGCGAGTACGTTTCTTCTTCTGCTAAACAGACAAATGATCATTTGTTGCCATGTTTTCACTGTCATGAAATTTTAGTTCATAACAGACGACTGCAAGCTCGAGGTGGAAACCAAGAACATATGCAGGAGGAGGAGGGGTGTGGACAGTTACCTCGTCGCCGTCTTTTCTCCGTCCAGTTGCCCGATTCTACTGTGGTGGATCCATGAAATCATCATCATCGTTTTGATGATCGCCGTGAGCCATTTTGCTGAGGTAAGAACAGACCAAATTGTCAGGGTGGAAATGAAATGTAGGAAGTAAGTAGTTGCCACCTAACAGAATGTGCTTGCCGAATGGGCTCCATTGAAATGGCAACAAGTGAATGCAAATATCACATGAACACAGACGCACCCCCCTATGATTGTCGAAAAACATAAATGTGGCAATTAAGCACATTGGTTTCATTTGAAAAAAATGTACAGATGTGCACTTAAAAACAAAATGTTGAAGTTGTCATGTTAGCACAGGATATTACGAAAGAAAGCCACAAATCTTCCACTGCACAAACATAAAATATGGTAGCTCACACCCTGTCCTCATACAAAAATGACTTGCCATGTGTTAAATAGCAGAATGTTCTAGGTTAAAATTGTCATGTTAAAATGCAACACAGAATTTAAAAAAGCGATGAAAAATATCTACTGAACAACCTGAAATTGCAACGCACACACTGACCTCATATCAAAAATGAGTTGCCATTTAGTACGGACAAATATGTTCAGATATCACAAGTCAGCTTGCAAAACACGAAACTGGGTCTGCCGTACAATGAATTTGCCACATTATCCTGCCTATAACATGGCAACAGACATGTTGTGTTCAGACAAATACTTGCCACATGGAAAGCATATATATGGCATCTGACACAGTTGATGTGCAAATTAGTTGCCATCCAGTGCACATAGTTGCTGAAACTGACAAGACTATCTAGTTATTATACTTTGCCATGCCACATTATCCTGTCAGTTGCCACAAATCAGCGTGGCAAAGCACAAAAATTTGGGTCTGTAGTACAATGAATTTGCCACATTATCCTGCCTACAACATGGCAACAGCCATAGTGTGTTCACATAAATACTTGCTACATGGAAAGCATATATGTGGCAACTGACACAGTTGATGTGCAGATTAGTTGTCATCCAGTGCAAATGGTTGCTGAAACTGCAATGACTACCTATTTACTACACTTTATCGTGCCTACAGTGTGGCAACGGCCACAGCCTATGCGCGAAATTAGTTGCCACATGGAAAGCATATTTGTGGCAACTATCACAGTCAATCAGGAAATTAGTTGCCATACAGTCATGATTGTCACTCAAACTACCATGTTTGCCTTCATACTGCACTTTGAAAAACAACTACCTAGATCTAGGGTTCAATGGCAACTATCATGACTTGAAATTCATCGCCAAAATTCTCCCCGCACTGACTGCAAATAGCAATTCGAAGCAATGCGCAACTATCAGATAGAAAAAACGATGGCTAAATCCCAAGGCACAACCAGTATGTGGCTCCGGACAGGCCGAACCACACCGGCGTGACCGCCACCGCGGCGGCGACGAAACTTCCCAATGCCACCGAAAACGGCAAGCACAGGACTCCGCCGCGGGCGGGAACGCCGGCGCATCGCGAACCCGCCTGAATCTCGATGAATCTCGAGCGAAGCATCGAACACGGAGGGCAGGGGAGAAAATGCAGGCAAGGATTTTGAGAGTGGGAGGGAGCATTACCTTCAATCTGTAGGCGCTCCAGCGAATACGCTCCGGTCCAGCGAGCACCACCGACGGCCGTGAATGTCGTCGACTCTTCCGCCTTCGCCGTCGCCTTCTCCTCTCGTCTTCTCCTCCAATCGACTGAAATGCGAAGTGGGTTGTGCGAGTAACTGTAAGGAGGAGTAAATGGAACCGTGGGGGGAGGGGGACGAAGTGCGTGACGTGTTTGACGTCAACCACGGTCGGCGCGTGGCGTGCGGGCGCAGAGCAGTTCCACCGCGCGCACCCGAGTGGCAACCGCTGACCGCAGGGGGGGGGGGGCAACCGGCGTGTGGGCGAACTATGTCACACACCACACACGCGCCTTGTCCTACGTGGCACAGAAAATCGGCCAGAACGTGCCAAGATTCGTGCAGATACTGCTGGACGGCGATGGATGCGTGTGGTTGAGATGGCTAACGCCCACACGTGTGGGCGTTAACTTTTCCGTTAATTTATAGGTTGAGCAGTTGCGGCAGGGCCGAGGCTGAGCAGAAGGTGGAGCAGCTGGTGCTCACTGCAGAGTAGATCGGTAACCCCGTGTCAGCTTGTGGCAGTGTAAATAAAATTACTGTTGGTAGACATACAATGCCACTGGTGATTTCACTTTTCATTGCACTTACATGATTCTTTGTGAAACAGCAATTTCAGTGTGGATTAGCCGGTTGGGTGATGCGCTCCGATACAGTACAGGCCCATACGGAGGCCTCACACCGTTCAAGTTAGGGGATAAGGTAATCGCTCTTTCTCATTCTCACTAACTAAATACTCCCTCCATCTCAAAATAAGTGTTTCAATTTTATACTAACTTTAGTATTAAGATTGATACACTTATTTGGGACGGAGGGAGTACATGAGAGGAGCTTGAGGATATGGGACGAGCTAGTTTTGATGCAATATACTTAACTCTTTGATCACCAGGTTACATTGTCTGACAATTTCCTTTCAGCCCACATTATGATGACGGAGAGCAGCCACAGAATAGGGAATACCTTCCTCAGTTTGTTCATTTGTTAGAACGAAAGCTACATTTTTTTCGTGGTGAAGTATGGACGGTGTTTTGTTTGGACTCTGGAGTAGTAGTAGCCTATCCTACAGTGGCAGTCAGTTCTTCCCAGGTTGAAGTGAGAGTGGATCATGTGAAAATGTGTGTGTTTGCCCTTTTTACCGTATTTGGAGTCATTCCGTGTGCAGCAAATCTTAACTGGCTTGGTGTCTGTCCGGCCTGTTAGACTGACCGGGAGTCTACTATAACACCTAAAAAAATCTACATGTTCATAAGATGGGCCATATGCTTTTGACTGGATGGAAAAACTGTCTGTTACCCAAATAAAGAACAGCTAGCTGTCAATTAGACACTCTCCATATCTAAACGATGACTTTTGAATTATTATCCAGAGATGTCGTAATGCTGGGAGACAAATGTGTGAAGAACTCATTGGACTTTGGTCATGATGATCAACTAATTCGTTCTGTGATTGCGCCGCTGCTAGAAAACTTCTCGCGTCTCTTGCTTCCCATTCTGTACAAGAACTTGGATTCCAAGAAGCACGCTAGCTGCACCTTGGTGTACGGCACAAAAATCATGTAGCCAAGTAACTCGACCACGAAGATGTTGCACGGTCCGGTGCCCATTGCCCCCCTGTTGCCTCCTGCATGACTAATCCATCAAAACCTGCGTGATCTGGTGTCTGTCAATCAAATGAATGGCATGCTCAGGTCATATAAATAGCACGCAATTGCTCTCTCCAGAAGTCCAGGTCTTAGCCTATACCCGCTTTCTGTCCCTGATATGCCGAGCCTTCTTTTCAGGGAAAGTGGGATGTATTTCAGCTTTGTATACCACACATGTGACTGAGATAATGGAGTAAACCAAGGCCCTCTAGTTAATTTGTGGAGAGTTCCTGCCTACTGCCTAGCATTATTTGCTTCAGTGCAACAAATGTTCTACAAAACTCAAGTGCAATCCCTAGAGTCCAGCCCCCGGCTCAACTACTATGATCAGGTCGAGCGCGAGCAGGAGGGTGACGAGGCAATGGAGCTGAACAAGCCATCGGTGCCACCATCAAGTCGTATCGCGCAGAATTAAACCACCGCCCCTGAACAAGATGCAACTCAGGAGGCCAATGCAAGCGAGACCTCGTATTGTGCTGAGCTCGGGAAAATTGACCCCCGATGATACCTCCGAGACCTCGTATCGCATCAAGCTTGTGAAAATCGAGCGCTGTGTGACCTACGAGGCAGCTGCAGGGCCCTCAACGATGCATGGGACGAGCTGTAGGATGACATCACTGCCAACGAGGGTGGCGGCCGAAGATGCTGCCGCCATTTTGTCCCCTCTGACATGACCAAGATTTGATTATGTGCAACTTTATTTTTAGTTACTAGTACAAATGCCCGTGCATTGCAACGGGCGAAAAAAGTTTGAACATACTCCACGTGGCATTGCACAACACTTCTTATACCCTAATGGCATTTGTCGGGGCCTAATTCAGATCCACGGTCTCATCCCATGAAAGAGTAGTTGTGCATGAAACAGTCTTTCAAGCTATTTTTTTTTCTTTTCATAAAAACACATTTTTTAAAGGTGTTTTTCTTTGTAATTTTTCAGAATATTTTAAAAAGATGATTCAATTTTTTGGTGAAATTTTTTTTTTGGAAATTATATTTTCGACACACACAGACAATTCTCTCTGTTACTTACGAAAAGATGTACGGACTCGATCTCCCTTCCCGTAGTAGCAGGGTTTACGAAATACATTAAAATCAGCAGGACGTTAAGCACCGACGTATGCGTTAATTGAAATAAAATTCAGAAAAGCACTGAAGTAAATCGAAACCTAATGTATGCTTCTTCTGCTAAACTTCAGATTGCTTCGAAGAAAAATATGAATACAGCCAACTTGTCTTGCTCTATTTTACACGGCTCATTGTTTCCATCAAGATGGACAATGCTAACATAAGCAGAACAGAATGTGACTAAGCGACAACCAATGCACTATCTTTAGGACAGCATTCAGACATGAATTGCAAAGACGCAGCATGGATAAATACCTTCACTCTTCTAAGTAGTTCATCATATCTCCGGTGTCCTTCTTGCAAAAATCTTTTTGTACAGTTGAAAGGACCCCTTAC